CTGGCATGCGTTAAATGCTGTTCCCGTCTCATGTACACACGTACACACACATGCACACACACGCGCACGTACGCAGTTTCCACTGCAATTGGTGTGGAAGATGCTACTCTGCACCCATAGGTAGATGGAGCCTGGTCCTATGCCAGACATACAGCCAATGTTAGCCTTGTTGCCCTAAGTGGCATCGTTCCTGATTTGTTAATAGGGATGACCTTTGCTCAGCCTTCTGCTGTGGCTAAATTTGCATTTGCAATTATTTGGTTAGTTCCTACCAATTTATTCAAAGCACACATTTTAAAGAAAGATGTTTACGAATTATAGTGAATAGAAGGGGGCTGAAATAAATAACTTTATGCTGTACAATATTATTGTACTGTCATTACTAAATATAGATATACTGTCGTAGAACTGAGAATGACAGTTGGTTGAGCTGCCTAAATAAAATACATCTGAGCTTCTTTCATAAGGTTATTGCAGCATATGACTGCATTTGCAGCTTTTTATTATCACATAGGGTAGGTGAAACATGCTGGGTTTGACTCCTTATGCCAAAATTTTACTTTAAACTGCTTAAGAAAAAGTTCTGCAGTAACCTAGCTTCTCCTCTCCTAGAATCATCATTGACTGTCTGTGCTTTCAGGCAGAAAATAGTCTCTCTAGCGAGCTTCTCGGCAGATCTGCTTATTTTCTTTTTTTGCTGGCACTAAAGGTGAGAGATTTATGGATTACATTGTTCAATTACTATGGTTTGTAAAACACATTGCTATATGGTAATATGCAGCATGCTGTCAGGTTTGATGCTTCAGCTATGCATTTAGCAAAGGTAGGGAGCCAAAGAGAAAACCTTTAGTGAGATTTTGTTTAGCAGTGCGTACCACATACACTGTGGAACAAATGTGATGGGACTACGACTGCTGATACAATTTCCTGTGCCTGGGAGGGAGAAAAATGTGGTGCACCCACAAGGGCTGAGTGCTGTACTATGCAATTCCAAAGACAGCTTGAAGACATACAGTTGTTGCATATCTTGTGGATTAATTGAACCCAGATCCTTGGAATCGGGGGGGGGGGTTGCCTTTTTTTTTTAAGTGCTGTCACTGTTGCTCTTCATTTCATTAAAAAGACCTGAAACTGTAGCCAAGACAGAATTTTGAATAAACAAAGAAAAACAAACAAAAAAAACCCAGTAATACTTTTAATCCACAGAGTCCTCTGAGAGAGCTCTATCTGTGCAGTATTTGGCTGCAGAACCCTAGAAGCGTACCACTGCTTTTTACCCCACAGATACATTTGCCAACAGTGACCCAAATAACACAGTGCACTTTGTTTATTTTGTCACTGGGCATTTTCTGAAATACATAGGTTATAGGAGACAAGTGTTAGAAAAATTTATACAGATGTTGTTTCATTTTTATAACTCTCCTCCATTTACTGGGTGGCATTTCCTTCAGTGTTAACAACAGAGGTTAACTGCACACAGGCATGTATAGGGACTCTTGACAAGTTTTTTCCCCTTTCTTTAAAATATGTTTCTCCAATTTGTTTGGGTTTCACCCTTGGCTACAGACAGTCTTTTAGAATTCAGATTTAATTGGTTCAGTCTATTCTGCTGATATAGTGGTTATTATAAGTATTATATAAATATTAGTTTATAAATAACCACTTTCCACTGTCACTGTAGTTATTTAGATTTTTCTTCATTGTCAAACAATAGTTTTCTGGTAAGTCACTTCAAGTGAAAGTTCATGTTGTTTGTCTTTTTCTTTCCCCCCTTCCTATATGTGTGTGTTGCATCTCTAGGCTTTTTGTCATCAGCTTTGCAGCAAGAGACCTGAAAGCAAAACTCATTCTGAATGGCTTCTAATCTTTCGATTTTGCAGTTGACTAAACAGCGTTTGGTGGATGCAGATGGAATCATTAACCCAAATGCTTTCTACATCTACCTAACAGCCTGGGTTAGCAATGACCCTGTGGCCTATGCTGCCTCACAAGCCAACATCCGTCCTCACCGCCCAGAATGGGTCCATGACAAAGCAGACTATATGCCAGAAACAAGGCTGAGAAGTAAGTAACATTTCATCTTAATGTCTTACAGTTTATATAGGTGCTCTCACTCCTTCCTTCAAGACCTAGTAACTCTATAGTTGGGTGATGCTGTATAGGGCTCAGAAGCATAAACAGAACAACATATTGTGTTACTCTCTAGCCTCGGGAGGCAAATGTAGTTGTGGAATCTAGTGTAATGTGGCACCACTGAAATGTTTTATCATGTTGAAAAATGAGATTTATAACAGTTTCTAGCAAAGCTCTAAAAACTTATAATAAGCATTGCTTTTTAATGTCACCTGATAGTTACATATGTGAGAGAAACCTGGAGATTGCATGAAATTCCTGAATTTCATCACTGATATTACATCATGTTTATCCCCTTTTTTTAATAGATAAGGAAATTTTATCAAGTTAGCTCATATGTACAAGCTACCAACACCAATATGGTACAAGAGTTATTTAGGGGAGCAGTCTGTGTTGAGTGGGTGTTCTCCTTCTGTCCCTCCCGCTCTGTGCTGTTCACTGTTTTGCATCCTGAGCAGTAATGCTGGTTCACCTTGCTTTGCTTCAGCTTTGAATTTATTTATTGGGAGGATTGCTAGCTGGACACCAGTGGGGAATGGGAGAGGACATGTGGGGGAGGACTGTCACTCTTGAAAATGTGCTTGGGTAACAATCTAGCTGTGCTTCGGTGTATCTGAACCCTAGGGCAGGTATTCAGTAAAAGGCTGGTGAAGATTAAATACATATATTGAAATATATCTGTAGTTGTTAAATTATAAAGAATTGTTTGGGGACTTGATACAGGCTGTGTTTATCCCAAATATATAGTAATCTCCTGTATTTAGAGTTTTTTCAAGTGTCAGTTGTTCCAAAGATGCAAAATTTAAATTCAACACCTTTAAGCATTTTGCTATAGAGAACAAGTGTCTTAATCATGCTCTCTGTGTATCTCTCTCTTCCCAAACACATTAAAACATTGCTATCCTTTTCCTAGTTCCAGCAGCTGAGCCCATAGAATATGCTCAGTTTCCTTTCTACCTCAATGGATTGCGTGAAACTTCAGACTTTGTGGAAGCTATCAAGAAAGTGAGAGCTATCTGTAATAACTATGCTGGCCTGGGGATTGCCAGCTACCCAAATGGTTACCCATTTCTATTTTGGGAGCAGTATATTGGGCTTCGTCACTGGCTCCTCTTATCCATTAGTGTGGTTTTGGCTTGCACGTTTCTGGTGTGTGCCCTCTTCCTCCTGAACCCTTGGACATCTGGCATCATTGTAAGTTTATTATAAGGGTCTTTGCTGAAGTCAAATTCCTTTCAGCATAGCTCTTGCTGTAGTCAGGATGGTTTTGTTTGTTTGGGCGTCTAATGGAGTATGTATATTGCATCATTCATTATATATTTATTCAATTTGAGAGGGTAGAGTTCATGATAAAGGTACAAACCTTAATAACCTTAATCCTTTGGCCACCTTTTTGCAGCTTTAAAGGTTTCTTATAAGGATACATGAACTTTTGCCCTTGTTCAGATGCACATTAATATGAGAAATAAAGACACAGAGGAAAATTAGGAACATGATTAAATATTGAAGTTATTTCTATTTGGTTTTTCCTTCCTCCTTTTTATCAGACAATGTTATTTTTCAAGGCAGTTGCTTGTGACTAACTTGCCTGTAAATTTGCCCACTGATTTCTGAATGCAGTCTTTCTGGAAAGACTGAAATGGTTAGGTTGTACAGTACACACTGAGAAAAGAGTGTAACTAACTGAGCTACTGAGGAGAAAGAGTTATAAAATTATAGACTGAAGAGAATACTCCTCCATGCTTTCTGCAAGGCACCATGAGCCTCATAGTAAACATTCAAGTTAAATTGGATGATGATTTTCCTGTGTTTAAATTCCATAAACTGTTGTATGGTTTATAAAATGTGTATGGTTTTATAAATGTTGTATGGTTTAGAAAAGAGTAAAACAGTTACTAGTTTTTGTAACTAGTGTTTATATGGCAAGTATGTTAAAAGGTAAATGTTTAGTCTAGAATATTTTTCATAGCACTTAAGCAATTTATGTTATTTTTCTTGATTCATTAGCTTATAAAATAATTTATTATAGTGCATACTTTTTTCCTTTGGAAAGGTGGTTTATTTTCAGAGTCCACCATTGCTTTTATAAGTTTATCTCTTTTTTTCCTGCTTGGCTTTATAAACTTTGAAGTTGATTCCATGGATTTCCTCCTCTCCCTTGTTATTTTTTACAAGGTAGATGAAAGAAAAATAAAAGCTTTCCCTTAAATATTTGCATTGTCCATGTCAATCCCTCCAAGTATCTTTAAAGCTCGAAAGCCCTCTGTAACCTGAGACTCATCAGCTAATTATGACATTCACTTTCTTCTGGGCTTTAAACCTACTCTGGAGTCATCCTCACTTACATTTGGAGTACTACAAAAAGAATTCAAATGCAATTATTTGAAAGTTAGTTTTTCTAGAAGGATCATCAGAGAAACAGGTAAAAAAGAAAATTTATCTTCCAGCGAGTATCCATGAGAAAGAAGAAAAAAACTATTTTTCAAATCACATTGATAAATTGTTACCAATAGAAAAGTGATGCTTGATCTGTTAACTGGTTCTTGGGATAATAATTTAAATTGACTCTTTAGAAGGTTGTTGCTATTGAGCACAATGAAACAAGGAAAAATGGCTTGTCTTTGGGGATAAGAGAAGGACTGATCTGAGGGATATATTTTATAGCCCCTATGTTGTTTTGAAATATCCTTCCTCTTTGTCTAGAGTATGAGAAGTTACTAACGGCTGTTTGAAATCATCTAGGTGGTGGTGCTGGCCCTGATGACTGTGGAGCTGTTTGGCATGATGGGTCTAATTGGAATAAAGCTAAGTGCAGTGCCTGTGGTTATCCTGGTTGCTTCTGTTGGCTTTGGTGTGGAATTCACTGTTCATATTGCTTTGGTATGTAAAAGTAGAAAGCATTTTCAAAGTATTTTAAAATAAAATGGTGACTGTTATGATTCCATATCCTTATTTAGACTCCTAAGTCAGTGACATGATTCTCAGAAGAGTATCAGTCATAAACCTCACACAAAGTTTTGTGTGCCATTTGGATTGTCATTGTACATGTGATCTGATGAAATAGTTCCTAACTATTGAGTCAGTCTCCTAAGAGATAAGAGGGAATACATAATAGTATTTTAGTATTTGATAATGCTTTTTGAAGACTGTGATTTAAGATCATGGATAAACGTGGTATCTAGTTGTGTGAGCCATACAAATACATAGACAAAGCAGAGCTCTTAATATTCATTATTTCAGGCCATACTCTCCCAGTCATTATCTGCAGCCTCACTGTTGTTGACTCTCGGTGCTATGTAGCTGTTTATGCCCTCTTGTATGTAGATTTTGTATCTTGTGGTAAAGAAACCTTTGAAGGGAGATATTCAAAATCATATAATATCATTTAATCTCTCTGAACCACTAAAATTTGAATGATTTGAATTCTTCGTGTGAAAAATCTCCACCTTCTTTTCAAAACCCATCAGGTATTAATAATGGGCTCAAA